TATATTAGAAATGTTTAAAAGTTTTTAGTAATAGATTATGGATTTCTATGACATATATACATACGCATTATTTAAAAGCATCTTGTTAAAGTTGATGATGAACAAGTTGTTCTTTTTTACGTTCGGAATAACAAAATCGCTCTCTACTTTGGACTCTTTGTTAGTTTGTAGATTGGATTTATGTTTATATCAGTTCCTGATACAATTATTTCCATCTGTGTTTGTGTCCTTCTGAATCTATGTGCAATTAATACCTGTCTTGTTACTCAAACCACCTATCAGTGTTCAAATGTTAGTAACTCAGTGTGTGCATTATCATAAGTATGTAAGTTTTGAAACTATTTCATTTAATTTGTAAGGCTTTGTAAAGAAGCAATGTATTAACTCGTAGAATTATTAAATTACTTGCAATTTTTCTAAGTTTTATGAGATTAAAGATGAAAAACACAACAAACAGATCAGCAACAACAACGACAGCAAGAAAGATAGAAAAATGCCAGTAAACTCTCACAGCAACAACCCTAGACACCGAACATACAAGCCAAATGTACTGCATTATTTTTCGTTCCGACTCCAATTCAAACGATTCGCTTCCATAGCGGTAATATGCTTTTTTATAATTTTCGCCTACCTCAAACGCTACAAATTAAATTACGAAAGTCGCAAAGATGGGATTGACAAATTATTATCTTCATCAAATATTATCCCTCACGTGTTTGAAAGCAGGAAGGCTGAAAACATTGTCGTTTCATCAGATGTAGTCGCTAACGAGGATCGTGTGGAAGTTATCAGCGCAAATATATTTGCTCTACATTCGAGAGAAACCATCATTTCCTCATCAAGAACAACGACAATAACCAAAGCAGAAGAAACACTTAACAACGCAACGCAGACACCAACATTGTCGACAACAACAAAAGTAGTCGCAACATCAACAGTCGCAACAACCACAACAACCACAACCACAACTAAAGCAACTACAAAATCAACTCGCGTTCCGATAATGGCTCACCCATTGTACGGACCAATCGTAAACCCTCACCCATTCAACTTCACCATCAACCGGCCCAACGCATGCCAGCCACAGCAAACCTATACCGTACTCAAAGTACATCGCTACCCAAACACTTCAAGTTTCTGGCATTTTAGAAAGAAAAAGGAAAAAAATTGGAAAAGAAACAACAACAAAAATCAAAACATCAGCATTAATAACGCCAGCATTTCCACAACAATCGACACGAACCAGTCGCTAACCACAGCAAACGCTTCAGCGACAGCCACCACAGCCGCAACCACAAACGAACAGTTGTATGCAATTGTCTACGTGCACACAGCGCCAGACAACTACAAAAAAAGACTGCTGATCAGAGAAACATGGGGCAACTCAATCTATCACATTCACCCAATCAAAGTTCTTTTCTTCATTGGGCTACCAAAATCACCAAACGAAAACGCCACTATAAATATGCAGAGTGCAATTGATCTGGAGTCAGACACGTATGGAGATATAATCCAAGAGGATTATACCGACGATTACCACAACTTGACTTACAAGGGCGTGGGGGCGATGAAGTGGGTATCCGAGCACTGCAGCCACGCGAGGTTCATCATCAAAATTGATGATGACGTCATGATGAACATCTTCCTACTCTTTCATTATCTCGATAGTAGGAATATCACCTCTAGCACAATCGTTTGTTTTGTCTGGGACTCAATGCCCGTCATGAGGTTGGTCTTTGAAAAATTAAAAATTTCAACTTGAAAAATTTTAACATGCTGGTTAATTACTTTTTATTTTCTGATGAGAATAGAAGTTTGTGAATTGAACTTTTTCTCAAATAACAAAAAATGTTTTAATGAGTAGTCTTTCAAATGAGGAGAGTATGTTGTAAACCGCCGATTCAATTGCAGTTTAAAAATTTTTAATCGATTGTCACAATTTTTTTTCATGACATTTACAACCATATCCTAAACCGGAAATTTTTTTATTACTAATAACAAACTAGAAACACTTTCAAAACTTTTTATACAATTCACGACGTCCGTCAAATAACATTTTCAGAGAAAGCAAATGGAAAGTGGAAGTAGAAGATTACCCAGATGATCTCTACCCGAGGTACTGTTCAGGGAGTGCCTTCATCGTGACCTCTGACCTCGCACAGAAACTCTACAACACCTCACACTACGTGCCCTTTTTCTGGGTCGACGATGTCTACCTAACTGGCTTCATACCAAAAAAGTTGGCCAACGTAACGCACGTTTCAATTGAACATTTTTACAAGTTTGGAGTCAGAGGGTACTCAGAGGATTTAGCGTCAGACAAGTTCATGTTTGTTCACTTTATAGATAATGCTAATTTTAAGAAAACATGGCAAAAAATCGTTAAAGCTGAATTAAATGTCATTCTATAATTTTCTATTTATAAAGCATAGGTTTAATGAATTTGCCAGAGCTTTATAAAACTAAACACATATATTTTTGTTCGTTTTATTTTATTTATTATTTTTCTTTTTGAAAATATTTACGCTCAATACTTTGCACTGAATTATTAAATTTATTCATTATTTTTCATCTCAAAGATCTGAGAGAATTTATTCCAAAAATTTGAATTGATGATCATTTCTCGCTAAACGAGATGAAACCACACACGCTAAACACGCACACGTTTTGTTGAAATTATTTCACGACAGGTGATCCGGTAGCCAAACAGACATTGAACAGTTAAGTTGAAATGATATTTCATTGATTTTTTTTTTTTAGTTTTTCATCATTGGGTTAAAATAATGAGGTCTCCATTAATTCTGAACACGTTGTTGCTGTTATATAAACATTATTGACGGGGTAGCGCGTGTTGTTTGATTGAACTAGTGTATCTAATTATCGCCTCGTGTATCTCGTGTATCATGGATTCATTCGTTTATCTCTTTATTTTTGGCCATTTGAAGAGAAATTTGCATGCAATAGAATTAATTTTTTATCAACCGTCTACAAATTGAAAAAAATGATGATAACATTATAATAATTTGCTTGGCTTATATTGTTAAACAAAACAAACAAACATACAAACAAATGAACGAACGAACAAAGAAACAAACAAACGAACAAACGAAAGAACAAACAAACAAACGAACCATCAAACAAATCAATCAACGATTAGCACACAACAAGTTCAACGTATAACGAATTAATAAACATAGACACTTTCAAATAAAACGTTTAAGATATTAAGAATAATAACATTTTTCCTAATAAGAAAATATAAATAAATAAAAATAATAACAACAATAATAATAAACACAATTAGTTAAATAATAATTTATATGCTGTCAACCTTTGGCTAAAAATATTTTTTTTTTCGAAATCCAACATTAACTAGTTGGGGTATGTACACTTGTCAAGTTTATGTAGCTTGCATGTCATTATCATTATCATTATCATTACCATTACCATTATTATTATTATTATTATTGTTGTTATTATTAGTGTTATTATTTATCAACGACTTTAGCAACGAAGATAATGTTAATAAATTATGACGAAGATGGCGATGATGTGAATGATGCTATTTGCTGACTAAATCGGTCATTAAAATGATGATATCTATTCAATCTTACGATACCCGATGATACAAATGATGATACCCGATGATACAAATGATGATACCCGATGATACAAATGATGATATCCGATGATACAAATGATGATACCCGATGATAAAACTGAAAATGATTAGTAAAACAGACGACGAAGACAACGACGATCGTTGGTGAAAAAAAGTCGATAAGTAATAATAATAATAATAATAATAATAATAATAATAATAATAACAATAATAACAATAATAATAATAATGATGATGATGATGATGATGATCATGACGACGATGATGATGGTGATAATAATAATAATAATAATAATAATAATAATAATAAAGCTGAAGAACATTGATTCATTAGACCTCTTATCATGTAACATCTGTCTCCTTGCATTGTCTGTCGCTTGTACCTATTGAAAATTTCACAGTTGGTTTGAAATATGTCGCCTGCTGCTGTTGCTGCTGCTGTTGCAGCGGCGTCGATTGCTGCTGTTGTTTGTGAGTCGTCGTTTGAAATCTGTTGAACGCGTTGTTATAGTAGATGTTGTTGAATAATGCCGTTGGTGCGGTTGCTTCGGACGTTGTTGTCGCCGGTGTTTCTGAGTCGCGAACGTCACACTCGTCTATTGACTTCTGATCTTTATTCAAACTCCAGCTCATCACAGATGATTTTTTAGACTTGAAAAAACTTTGCTGTTGTGGGACTTGTTGTTGTGGGAGGTGATGTTGAACAAAAGCTGTCGTGCTTGCTGTCTGATCCAACAGACCCGACCTGTGAGACATCCATGTGATTGCTGACGTCATAACAACGTCATCTGGTTCGATCGTGGAAGATAATGTAGCGTTAGTGGCTGTCGTTGCTGTAGCCGACATCGACGCGTTCGAACTATTTCGGTGTTGCTGCTGCAGTTGCGTGTGTGGGAACGTGTTGCTGGCTGTTGGTGGGTGGAGGTGTGGGCAGTTTATGTCGACGTTCTCAAGGCATAACAGTTTGATATTGTCAGTCTCATCCGTGTTTCGATTTTTATTGAGGCCCTTGTCTAAGGAAAAAAATCTTTTCGTTCGCTCGCCAGAGTTTAAAACGTCGCTAGCATCACTACTTTTGATATCTTGAAATGTTTTCTTGCACGGGTGGAATTGGTAGGAGTACTCCAGGGCGAATTTCTTTTCATTCGCACGTAGGCCAACAATACTGACCACATCATTGTCGTCGTCGTCGTCGTCGTCGTCGCGATTGTTGCTCCTATCGGCGTCGTCAGCCTCGTCAATGTGACTGATGGACGTGTTCATGTTGCAGCTTTGCGGCGACATTTCATTAATGTTGAGACGACAGTCGTCATTATTCTCGCTCCTGTTATTGAAGTGGTCGTCGGTTATGATGTTGATGTTGTTGATGTTGTTGCAGCTGTTGTTGCTGTTGTTGTTGTTACGGTTGCTGCTATAGTTGACGTTGTCTAAATGTTCGGCGTTTAGTTTTTGGCCACCTGCTGAGTTACTTAATTTGAATTCTCGAATTTTTCTGTTGGATTTGTTTTGCTTGCTAGCCAGGCAAATCTTTCGCATGCACACGACGCTAAAGATCAGCAAATTAACAAACAACAAGCCACAGCCGATCGCGAGAGTTATCGTCAGTGGTAGGTTGTTGCTGCTGCTGTTGCTTGTTTTGTTGCTGCTGCTGTCGTCTTGGTGGCTGAGTTGATGGTGGTGTTGCTGGTGTTGCGAATCCATATTTTCCTCATTGTTGTTGTTGTTGTAGTTGTTGTTGTTGTAATGCATGTCTGAATCATGAAAAGAATGTTCGGCACGTTTCTGTGGGTCGTATAGGATATTATTGCTGTCGTCCTTATTACTTTTTCTATTGTAGGAGCTGCTGCTGCTGCTGCTGTTGTTGTTGCTGCTGCTGCTGTATGCGCCTGCTATTTTGCTTATGTTTTTGTTTTTGTTGATGTCGTATTTTTTGTGTTTTTTTCCTTTTCTTATTCCTATTTTTCTCCCAGTGGTCACTTCGCGGTCATCTTCTTCATCGTTTATATCAATCTTATTATTATTGTTATTATTATTATTACTATTATTATTATTATTACTATTATTATTATTATTACTATTATTATTACCATCGTCATCATCATTATCAAAGACGCCATCACTATTACCACTTTTTTCATTATCCTCAAAAGTTTCATAACTGAATGAGCTACCACCGCCGCTACTAGTGGTAGTAGTAGCGACTGCAGCTGTCGTCAGGTTCTGGCTGAGGTAGGAATCGAACCTGATACCATCGGGTAGGAAGGATGAGTAGTTCGTGGGGTCGTCCAGTTGATGGTAGCGTGGGTCGTTGTGTGGATCGGGTCGGTGCAGTTTCGGTATTAAGTCGAGCCAGAGGGCGGTTTTGTCGGATTTGAGTGAGTGTCTTTGGGTCATTTTTGCGTCTATGGTGGTGAAGAGTGAGTGTGTTTGGACCATGATGATGATGATGAAATGACTATGAGGTGTTTATGTGATGTAAATGTGATGGCGATGTAACGTTAATGTGATAGTGATGTGATGATGAGGATGTTGTTTAATTTTTAATTTTATACTCAGTCAACTGAGGAAGAGTTTGCCTAACAAAGGAAACTAAGTTGGACGTTAATTCGCATCGAGAAGTAAAAAATAAGTAGAAAAAAGAAACTCAATCATAAAAAAAAATATGAAACTTAAAAAAAAATCAATTTTTAATTTAAAACTAATTTATGTTGCAAATTGTTTAATCAAAAAAAGTTGGATAATCAAACAATAACCACCACCAAGCTATGATCCACATTAATTCAGCCTATACAACAAAATGCTACATTAACTTCAACTCTCTCTCTCTCTCTCTCTCTCTTTCATTCTTTTTCTATTTTTTTTTCTCTCTCTCTTTCTTTCTCTCTTTCACACACACACACACAAAGACAAACACGCACATACACACACGCACACACACACACACTCCTTACAGATCAACAAAAACTGCAATAATAACAACGAAATCAACATTAGAAACGTCGCCAAATGACTAAATGTATCAGCGATGGTAATGCAGGTCGGCTATAAAAATATTGAAAACGTCAGCCGGTGAAAAAAAGCATTCGCAACCAAACCTAAAACAATGCAAAACACAAACAACAACACAAAATACATCAACAATATTACCATCAACTAAAACAACAACAACCACAACGCCATCACCTACGAATGACATCAACAACAGAAACATCAAAAACAACAACATCATCAATAACAACAACAACATCAACTACAACTACACAACAACATCAACATAAATGACAAACGAAAACCGCATCAGCAAATTGATCAGAAATGATTAACGTCATTATCAAACGTGATTAGCAATTGTGATTAAAGAACAAATTGGATGAACACCAGCAAACATGTTGGATGAACAAGTCAGGTGAACATCAAGAGTGAACATAAAAATGTGAAACATTATTAAAGAAAATTGAAAAAAAATTAAAGAAAAGTTATGAATGCTCTTGTGAACATAACTAATAAATGAGTATGGCGAACAAGAAGATGAACACAACTCTGACGAACAGACTGTGTGAACAAGATTGATGAACAAAAATATAATAAAATAAATTAAATAACTTTAAAATAAAATTATAAAAAAAATCAGAAAACTCACAAACTGCGTTAAAAACACTTCCCTTCCTTCTAGCTTAAAAAAAAGAGCTACACATAAAAAAGAAATGAAACAACTGCAAACCCAATTCCATGTAAGACTGCGACCATGCGTCATACTCATTCCAAGATGGCGCCCTGTCACGTGACACGACCACGTGGTTTACTGAGCGCGGTCTCGGGTCCCTGTTATTTCGTATGTTTATTTGTACTGTGGGCTTTAGTGCGCGTGTGTGAATGTG